GATGCCAGTCAACTGGTCACCGGTTGACTGGTTTCGTGAGTGACAACTTGCTAGATAGAAAGCTTGTGAGGAATTTCCTTCTAGAGCAGATCACCTATATTCGGATTACAACACGGAAGGCATAAGTTTCAAATACTAGCCAAGAGATCTCAAAAGATTGGTGAGATGAGCACTGCTCATGATTCTTTACAAGAATGAAGCAACTGCACAATGCTTTTTGGCTTTCAGCAAAGATCGAGTCCATTCTCAGGGGGAAAATCTCCATTTAAATGCTCCCAAGTTTCGTCAACGTACCAGCAATCTATGAGTGGCTCAGGGGAGGAAATAATACAGACGAGTACAGATCCCTCAATCTTTAATGCCGTCACTTGACGTTCCCACTCGATGTGGATTCCGTGATTGGAGGATTTGTGGCGCTCTGCCCTAAGTGAGAGCCAATCACGTTACTGTTCAGCCGCTCAAGGCCGAACGGTTAAGTGTCCAACCACTGACCAGAATGTTGCGGAATCGGAGCTCTTTGAGCGCCGTGAGTTACAAATTGCTCCAAGTGAGGATCAAACAGCCGTACAGATTTTCTCAGCTCTTGAGCATAGATAGACTCCACCTGCAGGATTGCATCTCTGTATTTTAAACTTGCGGCTATATTCACACCACCATGAAACTAGAATAAAGCAAACTAATCCGCCAGGACTGTTTAGCTATCTATTCAGTCAGTAGTACAAGGACAACGAAGACCCGTTCAGTGTGACGGCTTGACTCGTTGAGCTTTCGGAAAGCTAGGGCTTGTGTAATTTTTTTCTTCAATTAGAGGGGTAGACAGGTACTTTCGGGGAAACGCTTGAATCCCAGTGGAACAATTGCTTCACTGTATGTGTTGAAGAAACTTTCGATATCATTTGACAATTTGTGCATGTATTACTGTCAAACTACCGGTTAGAGTGTGAACTAAGTTCTTCTTCATCTAATGACACATGTCCTCCCGACGCGCCACGTAAAAAACGCCCTCAAACGGCACTGCCGTCTCGGAGAGAAAGATATATTACCCACCATAATCGGTATATTGTCAACCTTTGTGACTGTACGGGAGTAACATCCACTTCAGAATCGGATCCTGGTAAGTTCTGCTAAGGGCTAGGTGGCCCAAGTGGTTAGAGCGCCAGTTTATTGACCAGAAGGTCCGTGGTTCGAACCCGACCTCTGCCTCTCGTACTTCCCCTGTCTAGGCTTGGGCAACCTTGCAGTATCCCAGCCCTCGTGCTTCCTTCGGGTAGTATAGCAGCTAGGCACCGGAAGGAAGCTACAACTGAGAGATTTCTTTATAAGCCCTGCTAAAGTTGCATTCCGTTCACAGGAGCACCAGTCCATTCGGTTAACCGAATCTGTCCTCATTAGTTTTTCGACTTCTACTAGTTTCTTTTATCTTCTACAAGGATGTGATAGTGTTCCCTTCATCCATGGAAGAGAAATGTTGGTTATACTATTTATTTCAAAAAGCTTCGAGTAGCCTTTTCGCTCTCAAATCGAGATAACACTTTATCGGGAGCGGTTAACCACCTCAAGTCCACATGAACTCACCTGATGCGCTCTAAAACGTCTGCTATTCGAGCAGCTGAGAAGCCTAGATCAATTTCAAAGAAACCAACTGCTTTGTTGTAAGTAGACACATGACAGCAAATGGCAACAGGTATGTGGTAGCGCATTCTTAATAGTTTTTTATACAACCGAAGTTCAGGTGACAGTTCGTAGTGGTCCCGATTGCTGCCCTTGTTGGACGCTGATCAGTCGATCACAGTGCACAGAGAAGAGAGATAAGTAAGTGTGTGAGCCTTGAGAATAAATTTGCGGAATTGTGCAAAGATCAAAGTGTATTATATATCGAACGGTACATTTCAAAGGCTTCATTGAGATGCAGGAAATTGCCATTGATTATAAATGAAAAGAATGAAATTGAAAAGTAACTTACTACTGAGATTACTACTAATGCAAAAACGTAGCTCAATTTTAGGTTTTTAGGGTTGCTAAAATGTAGCAACAAAAACGTGGCTTGCTTGTTTCTATGTGATTTGGTGTGATTTATCAGAATAATGATCTCTTGAGTAACGATCTACAGAAGGATTGATGTTATTCACATAAAAGTGGGGCAATTACCAACCACTTAAGGTTCATTTTGCACTTACTCGAAAGTAGTGTCTGCCCCCGAACACTTCGAACCAATTCTCTCAGGGTTTCTCAAAGCGCCCACCCTGGTGGACGTAAATATTCTCAAGATTCAAAACAGTTACATGTAGGTAGCAGATATAGCAAGGAAAAGGGCTACCGATCTCTATTAGTGTGGCGTCTCTATTTAGGCGAGTTCACAATTATTCTCCTCACGTTGGGCTTTTCTGTTCGGGTAGTACTGAACACTCCAGCCTGTCTGAGGTTTACCAAACGCTGTCATTTGGACGACAACTTATATCTAGCCATATCGAGGCGATATGTTGGAATTTTGGAGGTTCGGGCTCACTTATTGGTGGTCGATCAGGGAGCTGTTGATCTGTTAGCTCGCGAACGTCTCATCACCGTTGAAGAGGACATCAGCACTGTGCACTGATAATGTCTCCTCGACTGGCAATGAAAAGTCTGCAGATAAACTGTCAACTCTGGCTAGAAGATCAACAGCCACCTGATCAGCTACAACTAATGAGGCGAAAACAGCAAACGAAAGTAATTCAAACGACAAATGAAACCCCCGTTGGAATAGTAATCACTCGAAGGACGGTCAGCACATGACCACGTTGTGCGGGTTGCAAGACTTAAGGATGAGTAGTGCTATATCCCGCCCATATGCGAGTTAATAACAGCGCTGATCAGACTATATCCTTGTAATGTACTACTAATAAGATTGCTGAAAATCTGTCGACAGCCCTCGACCGGTTTCGCCCTTTTTGGGCTCATCAGGTAGGCGCTGTCTCCGAGTTTCGGTCAACCTTATGTTCCGCTTGAAACCAAATTGCACGAAATTAGCGAATATACACTCATTTGCAAACTAATTTGGTTTCTCGAGAGACTCACCTGGAACCCAGCTGAATCTCCAATTTTTGATGTTCTCAGACAACTGAATGTGCTGCACCAGACCGCCTCATGTTTCAGTTGCTACAATATTCGAGATATCGCGATACATGTATATCTTTGTAATGTACTACTCATAAGATTGTTGAAAATCCATCGACAGCCCACGACCGGTTTCGCTCTTCTTGGGGCTCATCAGTTAGACGCAAACGAGAGATTCAGCTGGGTTCCAGGTGGGTCTCTCGAAAAAACCAAATTCGTTTGCAAATGAGTGTATGTTCGCTGAACAGACCAGTTTCGCGCACTGGACGGAATCCTGATTGAAAATCTCATCACCTCACACTATGAAAAATTGATTTATTGTAATTGGCTCAGTCGTGTCCCCATTGTAAACGCGTGACTAGCTTCAAACAGCCGAACTCCTGGCCAGCTGGAGTAAAACCAGAAGGAACAAACTGATAACCAAGACTAGTGTGCGAGAAATGTTAGTGATATGGGCCATCGTACGTGTTTTTTTCAAGTCTGACCTATTTTATGAGTACTTAGGAGGCAAATTTGCAGTTTTCTTCTGCGAGTAAAATCCATTTATTTGTCAGACATGTCATAGGGTAAGACCAAACCTCCAGTCGCCCATGAGGCTTGAAAACAAGTTTCAGTTCTCGAAACTTCGCCCGAAATTTTTAGGTTGCGAGGAGATTTTCGAAGTTAAACTGAGATTTCTTCCTGCTTCAAGGCTGAGAAGAGCTGTTCCAACATGTTCGCTCATAGCGACGCACCTATTCAAAGGATCCGAACGTCACTCTAAGCTACCGGAACGCCCACTGAATTCAAAAATATACAAAGATGTATTTGAGCTTCAATGCGTGAGAAATCCGACCGTCACTTTCAAGCTGGTGTTATGTATAATTTGGAAGTTGCAGAGGACTCTGTCACCCCGGGGGAGATCAAATTTCTGGTGCAATGAGCAAGTAGCGCGCTTGGATTTTGGCCATGAGTAATCTCCCCACACACACTTCTTTCACTCTAGAAAAAACCACTTTATACTGAGGCCTCAGAACGGACGATTACCCAGGAAACCGCCGCTAGGATAATCTCCCCCCCCTTTCGCGAAAAGTTACAAAAAACGAATTACGCACAGGCTAAATGGCACTACCATATTCGACGATAGTTTTAGTCACGTATGTTATTTTTTCACCTCATTCTCTATCCCTCTTAAGTTTTTCTGGGACTGTGTGACTTGAGATAACCGTGCTTGTAGGATTATCAGAGTTTAAGCGTTCCGAAAGACACCCCTCACATCTCGCAATCAGTCATCGCAACTCAGGCTGCCATGCCTGTTCTCATCATCCCAACTTGTGAGTGCGCATGGTTGCCGGATATTTGACACTTTGTAATGTGGAATGTATTTTCCGCGTCGCCCAGTGCGGATCTTAATTAATGTCGGTTTTTCGGGTAAAATTACTACTGGCTGAGCTTTGTCGCTATTAGCGGCTTGCTACTTGTCAAAAGTGACTTCGCTTCAACCGTCCACGTTGCAATCCTCGGATAAACATGCAACCCAATTTCCTGTACCTATTGCTAACTGAAATGGCGAGACTGCTTAAGTGGTTATAGTGCGAATTTACTGACCGGAAGGTCCGTGGTTCGAACCCGACCTCTGCCTCTCGACTTTCCCTGCCTAGGCTTGGGCATCCTGACAGTATCCCAGCCCTCGTGCTTCCTTCGGCTGGCGTAGCAGCTAGGCACCAGAAGGATGTTACAGCTGGACGATTTTTTGCCAACGGATGACTTTCACTTTTGAGCGAATGGTACCAAAGAATAGGGGGCACAGTGGCATACTACTTTAGTAGTAAAGTTAGTATTTAGAAGAATTAAACGGTTGTTTTCCCTGTGATGAGATTTCCCACCAGGATTCGGTAGCTTTAACCTGTTTGTTCGTTTGTTCAGGAACCCTCCGGGAAAATGTCTTTCCAAAAGCTTCTGGAATCGGATTTCTATTCGCTCAACCGAAGTCGTAGTGGCTACATCAGCTTACCGGAGATTCAAAGTGCTGTCTATGCCTTTGGCCTTCCTCGCGAAGCGGCTAAAGTGAGTGAGCGTGGTTATAACCCTGACGTTCTCTTTGAACTACGATATATACGGGAATAATTTGCGCTACAATGGTTCAGCACGTGAAGTCCTCTGTATTTAGGTTCACGTAAGTTTGGGCGACCGCGCCAAAATGTGGAGAAAGGACAAACTTCAGCCAAATGGTTTATCCTATCCCGCCTAGAGCAACCCATTTCGGTATCCAAAGAAAACAGTGGCGTAAAGTGCAAATGTCTAATGTTAGTTATAATCAGCCTCCTTTTGAATCGATGACCACTTGAGAAACCTGGGCAGATTTACCTGATTAGAGCTACTCAAAATTCTTCGACAGCCTGTGACCGGCTTCGTCCAAATTGTAGTTATCACCTAGCCACAGTGTGCAAGTTTCTGTCAAACGTACGTTCTCTTTACGCCAAAGTTGGACGCAGCTGGTGAATAACACTCACGTGGACACCAAATATGAGTAGTGTTTCTTCAAGAGGGTATACTGCGACATTTCGAATATCGTGTCATTTGAAACAAGAGACGGCTGGCTATTTTGCAACACTTTCAGTTGAAGCAAAGTATCACAAACTGAAGATTCTGTTACAACCAATAGGAGATATGCGAATCGGTGTGGCTCACTTGTCATATCCGATTCTCCTTTGCCATTTTGTTCTTTATGCCGCTTAACCATTCATGCAAAAACCTATCTTAACAACAAGAAAAACAATTACATAAAGGAAACTACTGACAAGGTCCCTGAAAACTCTTCGACAGCCTACGACCAGTTTCGCCCTGCTTGGGGCTCATCAGGTAGACGCAGTCCTCGGTTTCTGTCAACCTTATGTTCTATTTGAACCGAAATTGGACCGTTTTCGAGAAATACACTCATTTACAAATCAATTTGATTTTCACGAGAGACTCAACTGAATCTCTGGTTTATGATATTCTACAATTTGGGTTGAAGTAGAACATAAGGTAGACGGCAACTCGGGGACTATGCCTATCTGATGAGCTCCAGGAAGAGTGATACCGGTCGTGGGCTGTCGAAGTGTTTTCAGCAACCATGTGAGTAGTGAGGCCAACTGAAACATGAGGTAGCCTGTGTGCAGCACATTCAGTTGAAGAATTCCACAAACGTGAGATTCAATTGAGTCTCTCGTGAAAATCAAATTGATTTGCAAATGAGTGTATTTCTCAAAAACAATTCCAGTTATTGTGTGCTGCTTACCTTATTCACCCGGTGAAACGGTTGTGATATATTACAACAAATGGCACTGTAGACATTCTGACTCAGGTACCAACATGCTCAATTTAAATCAAGTGAAGGGGAGGCCATGCATCAGCGCTCAAAGTGATATCAACTATTCAAACTGACAATCGGTTAAAAATCGTAGCCGGTGACAGAGCATTGTTGTCTTGTTTTTTCTCACAATGAAACTAAAAGATGAGCTCCTTCCGGTTCTGCCAGGTTTATTTTATTAAGGGGTTGTAGGAAGTATTATGCTTTGTCTTCTTGACGGTTATGTTCCTCGTACGATAATTTCTCATACTATTTTGGCCATCGGCTCTGATCACTCAATAAAATATACCTAAAATCTGTAAACAGCAGTGAAATGCCCTCTGATCAATTTCTGAGCAGACCGTTTGGCCCGAAAATTGTTGGACACATGATTTGGGAGGGGTTTTTTGTTTGTTCTAGGATACTGCATCTCAGCCTCACCAAACCAGCCCATACAGCCCAGACTGAATTGAGAAATTTAAAATGAATATGATGGCGATTTGAGCCGCTTTGTGATGCAAACTACCTGATTTGAATGAAACAGGATTTTACTGAGACAACTCCGACAAACCTAGGCATTGATCGGGGTCTGAGAGTCCAGACTTTTGGTCGCTCTACTATGCTGCACTATACTATACTATACTATACTATACTATACTATACTATACTATACTATACTATACTATACTATACTATACTATACTATACTATACTATACTATACTATACTATACTATACTATACTATACTATACTATACTATACTATACTATACTATACTATACTATACTATACTATACTATACTATACTATACTATACTATACTATACTATACTATACTATACTATACTATACTATACTATACTATACTATACTATACTATACTATACTATACTATACTATACTATACTATACTATACTATACTATACTATACTATACTATACTATACTATACTATACTATACTATACTATACTATACTATACTATACTATACTATACTATACTATACTATACTATACTATACTATACTATACTATACTATACTATACTATTACACTGCACTCATACATGGGTATCTATAATTGCTGTATGTGAACTACCAAGACCGAAGAAGGCAAACTCGGGCACAAATGTGTCCATTCAAGACTGTTGTCCTCGGGCAAGGCCATTTTTTACAATCACTATGCATAGGCGGTCTGTCTCGCTGAGAACTTTTTTCTTGGTTCATTTGAATGGTCCTTCATTGAAAACTGTCCAGAACTAAACCCTTTTTCCACAAAAGTGTGCCATGTGAAGGCCATTTTAGGGCGTACGACAATGAATGTTCTGGAAAGTATTTTCTGGCGATACAATATGAAAGATTCTACCCACTGCTGGTTGTTGATCAGGACTCCTGGATTCATGTCTCCACTTCCGGACCACAAAGATCACGTGACCGGTGACAGCATCAATGAATAATGCGTTCGAAAAGAAAGAATGATGCTCCATTTGGGTGAGTGATGTTCAATGATCATTTCGACATACTTGGAGAAATTATTGTGCTTAAGCCCGCGTGTGATTGGCGAAATTAAATCGATCCAGCTGATTCAAATGGCCCTGGAAATAAAGATCGATAAGAAAATCAAATCTTTCTTAAAAGCCCCGGAACATAAATTGAATATCCAACCAATGCGCGGTGAGCCCATGTGATTAAGGTTCTTATTTTTGGGATATTTTTCAGTCCGTTCGTGAAGATCGTTGACTTGGTGGTGAGCACGAAGCTCGTCATTGAAATTATCCCGCCCGTGTCCAATCATTCAACCATTTTGTGAAAAATGCTATCGAATCTCACATCTTCATGCATTGCCAATGTCGATGTATCTCAACTCGTTTCAGGAATTTCTTCATTACTGTGACTTAGACAAAGATGGGAAGATTTCAAAGGCTGAGTTCGAAGCAGCGGTCAAACGTCGCAAGGCAAGACGGATCAGGTTTGTCATACTGAGTTTTGATCTGAGTTTCATTTCTATAAGTTTGTATGATAGGAAGAATTATACTTCAAAATGCCTAATCATTCACAAACACCACGTGATATAATGCACATTCATTGCGAAAGTACACACAAAAGCTTGATTAAAGGCTACCACTCCATTGTGCTGGTAAGGCCGTGATGCTGGACTGATCCTGATGAAACCTCTATCCTCAAGCTTTCAACAAACCAAGATTGCTCACGAAGAGCAACCAAACGAAGACCGACTCACCATACTAAGAGCTGTTGTGGTGTGAAGCAGCCGCAGCTACGTTTTTTTTAAAGGCGAATGTGAAAACAGAACGATGTTTCCTGATACGATCGGCACCGCAGAGTTCTAGCTTGATTCTTCCCTTCACCCTCTTCGCACACTGGTTTTACACGGTCCACTTCCATTCAACCTGTTTATGTGTCAATGTGCACTCAACCTAGTTGGTCTCCACTCGTTTGATAACGTAATTGTTAGGGATTCGACCTGGTCACTTAATTCATAGTATGGTACACCGCAATCATCCTATGTGATCACTCCAAACGCGTCTCCATAATCGGCCGAAAGCAGTAATCGCCACGGCAATCCTATCATTTACTTCAATTTCAGCTTCCAAGGAAGCTTCGAAGGCAGCCAAAACTTGGCTATGCCGCTACACTATTAAAGTTCATCATTACTGATGCTTTGAAATTTTACCCGACCACTTTTGGACTTTTTATTGAACTCTGTCATCTTGTGAGGCCCTATTTATAATCTCCATGTTGAGTGTGTACCAGTTAGCCTCAGTCAGGGACACAATCACCAAGACCTATGTACGTCCATAGATAAAAAATCACGAGCTTATAAACGAAAATACTGCCGTCAAGCGATCACAGTTCCATCTACTACATTTCTGAGTCGTCCTGGGTCTTTTATTGATCTCTACATAAACTCCCTTTCAACCTGCAGCTGAGGACTTATGAAAAGTACTTTTTCATAAAAAAGACTTCCCTATTTTCCTCCCCTACCCGCAAGTGTCATGGCATTTGTCGGAGATTTCGAATCTCTATAGATTTCAAGCGACGATGCCTGTTAGCGTTAGAAATCAGATAACCGCTTTTGAATTATTTCACGAGCCTAAGATCTTTTTCACGCTACTTTTGAAAGGAAGGTCTTCGCTGCAGATGTTTATTACCAACTGAACATGAACGCAAAACTCTCATATGCATCTTGTTCTGTAAAAACTGAATATCCGTCTTCTTCTTGAACGCGTCTTCCTGAACTTTCCTGGATATTCATTGGCTATCACCCAGATGTAAAAGAATGCTACAAAGCGGAAATGTAAAAGAATGCTACGAAGCGATTCCACAAATTGAGTAATTATTCCCACTTTCCGATAGATGCGGAGCGGAGTTACGATAAAACATGTTACTCGCATGTCACATCAGTAGTATCCATCGTTGCACCTTCAGTTGGAGAAGTGAGCACAATTAGTAGGACTAATTCTATTTTTTCCAGCGTATTGTTGCGGCTACAGGGGCGTGGGTCATAAATTTTTCAGTAGTCTAGATATATCAGCAGTTTGACATTAAAACTGACAGCACCACCTTTTATACCCACCTTTTATACTTGAAGGAAAAACTATCAAAGTGGTGTTTTTCAATAAAATGGTTCGATAAACTTCCTGAAATTAAAAAAGCAAATCACTAAGGTCGATCAGCAAATTTGAGGAAATAACACGAAGCCAGAAGTGATCACGGCAGGTTTATTGCATGCTAGAACTGTACGCTGTTTCGACAACCCTACAATCGGATAGGAAGGTTGGGGAATAAAATAGACACAATTTCCGGAAAATAATTCAACATGATGGAAACGGTGAGAGTCAAGGATGAATACAAAAGACTCTAGACATCACATGAAATAATCTGAAAGAACGGTGGGCGAAAAAATGAGCATCTCAGGAGAAAACGGGCCCATTTTCAATCCCCACGACGTCGGGGATTTTCGCAGCGTTGTTTTTTAACTTGAATGATTGACAGAATGGTCTAAAAGTTGCATTTTTTCGAGAAGATTATTGATTTTTAAAAGGAGGGCTATTTTCAATGGAGATTTCGTCCTGTGAGTAAAGCCAGTTTATGCTGAAACCCCCGCTGTTTTATTTATACTTGGTATCATTGGTATCTCTCAAGCTTCCAGTGGTAATACGAATTCTGTGGATGCCTTGATCTGCCAACCACATAGGCTAACCAAATGCCTGTCAAAGTCAGCTTTTCTCGACAGAAAGCACTATAGACGTGTAATCGAGAAACACTCTTCTTATCCAGAATGGGCATATGTCAAATTTACAGTTACCCATCTTTTACGAAAGCACCTGAATGACTCTACTACAAGTGGTCAATGATTCAGAAAAACATCAAGTTTCCGTTAAAACACCATAAACGAGCAATCGGCTGGGTTCCAGGTGAGTCTCCCGTGAAAAAAAAATTGGTATGCAAATGAGCGCAAATTCACCAGTTTCGTGCAATTGGGATTCAAGTGGAACATAAAATTGATAGAAACTAAAAAATGGCGCCTATTCTGTGAGCCTCAATAGGGGCAAAACCGGTCATGGGCTGTCGCGGAGTTTTCAGCAACCCTGTGAGTAGTATATTGCGTCTATATAGTCATACTTAACTTGCCAAATTTTGAATACTGTGTCACTCTGAATAAGTGAGCCAGTGCGTCTATGAGGCAGTCAGTCTGTCTATTTGTTTGTCCGTCTGTCTATCGGTCTGTTTGTTCATTCATTCATTCATTCATTCATTGCAAATTTATTCATTCATTCATTCACTTTTCGACCCGTGAATCGTGCATCCATATTACGTTGGTTTTAGATACCAGAGGTAACGGAAAGCCTTGCGACCATCTAGCGGTGCGCATCCCTGAGTACGAGACGCTTTATATCCTTTGATTACTGATGCACTTGTATCCAAAAGGTCGGGTTCAACTTCTAATCCTGGCAAGTACCTACTACAAACCCTTCATCAGAGGAACTCGAAGGCCTTGTTACAAAAGTATAATCCAAGGCCTCCATCGAACGGCAAGAACTTGTTAATCAGGCTTCACAATCCAGATTGGTGTGTAGAAAAGTCTGGACACAATAACTTTGGTTGCCCTAGTGCTTACCACGTGACACTTGTGAGGACATGCCACTGTTATTAACCTCGGTTTACGTCTCGCAGCTGATAACATACAGCGAACTATGTCTCCTATCTGTCCTGAAGTTTCTATGGTGTTTCTCCTGCAAGACCACCACATTTTTATCCAATAGGGCCTAGAAATCTTTCGATCTTCCTGTTTTTATCATTTGGGTAAACTGCCTAGCTCCAATCCGTCAGCTGTGATAGTCCGGCTGCAGCGAAGGTGTTTATTTCGTTCTTTAATACCTGGTCACATGATAGGAGCTTATCGCTGTCTGTGGCCTGGGCGTATCGATTAGCTGCGAGTGGTTGGGTCAACCAGCAGGCATGTGGTCTTAGTCGTCATCCTATTGGTTGATGTGGTTGTAAGTCCACGCGACTGACTGCTAGGTCGTTCGTTCAAGCGTGATACAGACAGCTTCGTCACGAAAAAAAAGTTTTCTCACATTTTCTTGCATCCCACCGAATAAATTCACTCTTCTTTTGCCGTTCAGCTTAGAAGATACGAAAAATATGTACACTCAAATGGGAGCCAGTGGGAATGGACGTCTCGATTTCACTTGTTTTGTTCGACACATGATGCCATTGAACAAAGGATGGTCCGAATCACAAATGAAAACTCTTTTTCAAAAGTATGACAAACGAAAGAAAGGTTACCTCACCAAAGAAGAATTCGACGCACTGGTGCGGGAATCGAGTTGAACTGAGACATTCTGCCAACAATCAATATTCACCACTTATTGTGTTCAAATAAATCTATTTGATTCATGCTACAGGCTTGGCCAAATTTGTCCTACTGAAACCCGATAGGAGTATTTCTACCCTCGAAAGACACCGCTTTCCCTTAGCAAACCTTTGTGATGAAGACATCGCGAACTCATTTCTTTAAGCCTCAGTGGGCATGCGCTATGGGCTTAGCCAATAAACGAACGAAGAAATTACTGTCGAATACCTGTCCTGCTGGTGACCAAACTGGCGTAAACGAACCTTAAAGCAGCTTTGCTCACATATATCTTGCTTCTGTCTACAAATCGTGATAGCTGGAGTGCTTTCCCAAAACCTGGAGACACCAGCGGATTCAGACAACGTCTTCTGATTGCTGCAACAAAGTAGGTAGTAAAGTATATCTTTGTAATGCACTACTCATAAGGTTGCTGAAAATCCGTCGACAGCGCACGACCGGTTTCGCCCTTTTTGGGGCTCATCAGGTAGGCGCAGTCCCCGGATTTGCGTCAACCATATGTTCAACTTGAAACCGAATTGCACGGAATTAGCGAACATGCACTCATTTGCAAACTGATTTTTTCAGCAACCTTATGAGTAGTACATTACAAAGATATACATGTATCACGATATCTCGAATATCGTGGCGACTGAAACATGAGGCGGCCTGGTGCAGCATATTCAGTTGCCTGAGAACATCACAAACGAGAAATTCAGCTGGGTTTCAGCTGAGTCTCTCGAAAAACCAAATTAGTTTGCAAATGAGTGTATATTTGATAGGTAGGACAGTTTTAAACCCTGTTCAAACGGTTAAGTTCTATTGCCGCCGTCCGCCAAATTCTACGACATTTATTGATTCTACCGTCTACCTAGGAGAAACGGATTGGCTCGAATGAGGATAGGGCACAAAGACAATGAGGCTAATCAGATGCGCCAACATAACAGCAAAACCAGAATAGATCAGATCATCCTGCCCTGATACCTTCGCCAGTTTCTCACCGTCACATCGATACTATTTACCCCAATAAACAGCAAACTGGAAATTTTTCGAAGCTACTACTATTCGTAATAGGAGACAGATAGTTGTAAGTACAAAGGATTCCTCCTTTCGCTGATAATTTCGGGATGTGCTTCAGAATTCCACCTTTATAAGCTTTTCTAATGCGCGTCTAAAGAGTCACAGCGAAGTAAAGCAAGATTTGGTCGGTATGTCCTATAGTTCACTTTGAAATAGCGTTTATTTCGACAAATATGGAGGTAAGCTGCCCTGAATATCCACATATATTGGACGAGACAATACCGAAACCACGCTACGCGCATAGGTTTTCGAACCAAAGCAAAATTCGGTGTTGGAACTGAGGCACTAGATCAAGATTGTCCAGTGATAGAGACAAACAGCATTTCACCCCTCGGTCACCAAATTCCACGCACAGCAGAGGTGGTCGCTCAACAGCTGAATGAAGGTATGATTCCCTAGAGTGTATTAGCTGCGTTTCAACCAAAGTTTATCTCGATTTGAAAGTGGACTACTTGGTCCTTACGATACCTGTTTCGTCTTCAGCGTTTACGCTTGAAGTGTCTGGGGCTAAAATCGGAAGGGGAGCATCCTCGGTCAAAAACTGATTTCTGGCGAAAATTTTAACATATTTCTCCTCTTTCGAATGGAAAACAGCTTCAGAATAACTGCATAGTTTGGTGTGAGTTTCCGAGTGTTTATCTCCAGTTCCAGTAGCTGGTCGTCATAATCTGGGCTTCCGTTTCGTACTAAGATCTAGCTGTTCTGTCATCCTCTTGACTGTGATTTCATTGGGTTACCGAATTCGACTAGACTGGGTAGCTGTAAAAATCCACCTTCCAATCGAATAAAAATGGCGCCCGATACAACGGTAAACTTCCCAGACGGCTGGGGTGGTTTGAACCAGATAGTAACTACGACCTTGAACACTCCCGAGTGCCGCCCCTATGGTTAGGATTTGACAAAGTGGTTAGACATCTTTTTCAGGATCTGGTAAACAGTCTCCAGCCTACCCTCAAGAGTAGCAATACTGTACTGCATCAAGCCATGTGATCCAGACATGTGATCTTATTCCCCACCAGTAGACTGACTTCGTCGATTCAATGCAGTACATTGTTGTCCCCAATCTTTGAAGAGACTTCGGTGATTCCGGTACACAAATATGAGACTTTTTCTTATCTTCCTTAGTAGTTTTGCTGGAGCAAAGGCTATGAACCATCCAGAAGGATCAACAAGTCGTCCGTTAACACTGAACGTTGAGTTAGGCTTGTCATATTCAGAGGTATGCAAAACACAGGTTGAGCAGTGAGGTAACTCGAGCTTCAGGTAGATGAGCAACTACACCATCAGTTTGTGGCGTACTAGATGAGTTCCGGATTGTAGAATTATTCAACACCCAGAAGTGCCTTTCATCGCCATTTCGAAGCAAAATTACTGACGCAACAATCGAGCCTACGTTGTCCTGTGCAATGCATCTATCATTGCACATATGTGCTTCACTACATAAGGAAACAATTTTTGAGCTGTGTTGCCTTCCAAACGGCATTATAACTCCATGTTAGTCTTTGGCTTGCCTTCCCGTTCATAATTTCATGTCATAAAAAAAGAGTAACTTTTTAAGGAGACAAAAGGAAATTGTTATAACCGTACTTATAGGGTCATTAATGGTCATTCCCCGAAGGTCGATCTACAGTCATTTGCCGCACCGGGTTCAAAATGCTCGATCCTGATTGGCACACATTCTGACCAATCAGGACATGCCTTCGTTTGGTCTGAACCCGGCACACGACACCGTCCATTCGTCCACTGGCAGAGAAACAGATCTTAGGTGAATAGGAACTTTGCCCGCTGTTTTACCACAAAACCGTCACCAGTGCACCCTGAAGAAAACAAACACTAGCAAACACTGAGAATACCATCAGTGCTGAAGTTGTGGTAAGAAAAACCCTTTTCACATCATTTATTGATGGAACAACATGTGTGTACCGGTCTTTGAAGCAGAATTTCGTAGTGTTAACCACTGGCCTACATGACATATTCTGCTTGAATGAGCGAGATGTCTCAGTGGTTAGAGCGCAAATTTCCTGGCCAGAAGTTCCATGATTTGAACCCGACATCTGCGTTTCGACTTCCCCTGTCTAGACTTGGGCAACCTAGCAGTATCCTGACCATCGTGCTTCCTTCAGTTGACGTGGCAGTTGGGCACCGAAAGAGTGCTGCAGCTGAACGATTCTTGGATTAATTCCGCTTGAATTACAGGTTAATCCCGGTTAACGACAGACTCGTTATTCGTTACGTCACTTCCCGTGTTCAGTGGCCTTAGGGTATCTCGTTTGCCTCTTTCAGTACAAACATCGAGTGCACCAGATGACCACGGAGCATGTATGCCTGTCAGTGCTTATTTAGCTTGTGCTTGCTTCCTAAGCCTTAAAAGGTCTCCCAATCAGTTTGGAAAGAATGTACTAAATGAGATCAAGGGGGAATGCTGTCAGAGATTTCAGACCTTTTCAAAATTGGTTGAATAGGTCTCCTAACTTATCAGCTTTATATCCAGCAAGTTGAAAGGCCGCAGCTGTTCATAAGAAACTGACTTGTACGTTCTAACGCATACGTTTCCACCCAAATGTTTGATCGTATAACTGGCTTTGCAGACGTAGCACCTTTACCCGACTGTCCGACACTATGAGCAGGGATTTTAATAGGTTTTCTTGGAAATACCTCGGATTCCAAGAGGCCGAATATTCTGGTTTATGGCTCAGTAGAGAGCTATTTACACCATCCATTCGTTGAGGATCTGCACGTTCATGAATAAGTGAGACCTCTATAATGCGGAATTTAGTCTTATCTTGCGGCCTGACCAATAGTTTCGTCCATCTAGCGCTCATTGCGGAACAGTTGTTTGAGATTCATTGACCTCGACTTTCTGTTGAAGTGTAGTTACGCCCACCCGTTTCCCACAATCTGCTCTCAAATCGATAAGTTAGTATCGATCAGGTGAACACTGCTCACCACAAGCTACGCATCTGACGGAACTAAAGCTTAGCGTGTGGCCAGACGCGACTTCATTGTGGGTTCCGTTGGCTATGTATCACGTGGTTTTCTGAAACGCAACCTGCTGTACCCGAGACGACAAATCAACTGGAGTATTTACAAGAGCCAAAATCACAACAAAAAGACCCAGTCGCATAAGGCTAATTGTTGATGAAGTAAAAAAAAACCACCTCCCAAGGATGCGAACCATTTATCAATGGTAGGAGGCAGTAATCGGGATAGAATGCTGTCAGCCATACAACCGACAGAAAACTTGCTTTAGAGAGCAGTGTATATCATTTCGCTAGACTTTGCCAATCTGGAAGTTATCGTAGTTCTAAACAATTTCCGTCCGGACGATGCCACCCTGTGACTAGGTGGCTCATGCCGGCCAGCTGGCTTCGCTTACATCACACTGGGAACCCAAGTAATCACATTTCAAGGTCGTTCTACCACATCTTCCTTTCGGACTCACGGAGACAAGATTTTGGACACCAACTAGGTACAGAGTCCGAAATCACGCTTAAGTCCAGCAGACGTGCAGTCAACCAAAACGCTCAAGTTGTTCCCATTCGAACAGATCCCCAGGCACGAGGAGTCAAGTGGACATAATAGACCAGAATGGAAATCTCTTTGATCAGAGTGTCGGAAACAGCGTTAATGAAATCATCCGAAGCTTGTTCTTCAAGCGGTCAGTGGATTTCGACATGCTACGAGTGCATGTGAATGCAAACAGGATATCTCTGTTACCCGTTGGCGAGAAATGTGTCTGCTAACTGTCAAGTCTTCATCCTTACAGAGTGCACTTAGGCTTCTCACCAATAACTGGTTCTCATCTACGCACCGCTACATTTCACCATTCTTTATCGTGTTTCTTCAACCACTTTTCCACTTTTGTCTTTGACACAGGATGGTTGTGTTCCTTTAAGAATTCCATCATTTCATTTCT